ATCAAGTGGCATAGACAGCAATGAGCAGGCAGCTTAGTTGGGAATGGGCTGGCAGCATGGATGTGAGGTGCTGGCAGGGTTGGGTGTCAATGGCATCAGGGAGCATACATGGGAATGGTAGTGGCAGGGGTCAGGTGTCACCAGCATTGAGTGGCATAGACAGGAATGGGCAAAGTCCAGCACTATTCACTTGCAGCATCAGCATTCAGTGGCATAGGCCACAATTGCATGGCCACAACCTGGGTCAGATGGTTAAACCCTTGCAATTGTGCAGAACATATGTGGCAAGCACCATGCATGATTTGAGGGTGCTGCTAGTGTGCACTAGCTTAGTGGTACCAGTGGATTTATAAATCGCAAGGCCAGTCACCTGGCCAGACTCAAATGGGATGGCACACACCAGAGAGACCATATCTGCACCATGTAAAGCAAAAGTGGGTGGGGGTGATCATTCTCAGGAATAGCGACAATGAAATGGTAATAGTACATTCTATGGACATGTTAATCTGTGTCCATCCAATTAGTGGCATCCTCATCATCAGCATTGTCCCCACTGGCATGGTTGGCAACTGCCCCCAAAGAGACATAGATAGGGGGCTGGGCTTCTCCTACACTAGGGGTGGATGAGTATGCAAAACAGTGGGGGCAGTGGCAGGAGAGTAGAAGGGGCTAAAAGCATATCACCCAGGAGGTTCTGGAGGATGCTGGTATCAATCACAACATCCTGGACCATCATAGTGGGCACAAGGTCAAGTATCCTTGCACCATCAGTGGGAACAACTGCTTGATGACTTGTAATTGCAAAGCTGATGGGGGAGGGGTGGGAGGGTCCAGGTGCATTGGGTGAGGAGTGTGGCAATGGGTACAGATGCTGGCATAAGGCCTCAACAACATTGCAAAGCATCTGCAACTTGGTCTGGGTATCTGCAAGGGCCCACTGGGCATTGGCAAGCTTGCAACAGGTATCTAGCAGATTGTGTGCTGTCTCCATATGCTGCTGCCACAATGCCACACTCTCCTCTTCCATCTGCTCTATTGGGGTGGCATTGGGGGTCACTGGGTGGGATGGGGTAGTGAGATGGCTTTGGGATGTTGCTGCCCCCCAGGATGCTGGGCTTGATGTCTGCCAACCTGACTGCTGCCAGAATGGAGTGATGATGACCACTCCATTGAAAACTATGTTAGGCTCAAATAAGAATAGCAGAATGAAAGAAATGGAGGACTTACTTTGCCTGTGGGAGCTTGGAGTGGCTGAGGTGGTTGTCTTGCCAGTGGCAGGTGTCATACTTCTAGTGGATGCCTGTCACTTCTGGGTCTGCTGCACAGGAGTGGTGGGTTCTGAGGATATTGTGGCTGATGGCCCTGGTGAAGGGCTTTGAGGACAGTGTCAGCTGGGGTTATGGGTGGCTGCAATGGTTTGGGGACAGTCCACTGCTCCATCAGGCACCTCAGTTACAGCATGACTGTGGGGTCACCTTGACTGTGACTGTGTGGCCTTCACTCCAGCAAAGATACTACACCTGTACTGCTGGCAGCTGCACTGCCAACATGCAGAACCTGGCTTAACCATGCATGGCAGATTTTTCTCCATGCACCTATTGCATCAGTCTTCTTCGGCAACAGGCATATGGCCAGTGGCAGGGGTTGCAAGAGCAGCAACTGAGCAGCTGCAACCAGTGGATGCTCCAGCAGTTGCCATTGAAACATTGGCATCACTTGCTGCCACTGACCTTGTATGCTTCTGTGGCCTTTGACATCTAGGACAAGTGCCAGTAGGAGCAGCATGACTGGTTGATTAGCTGCAGGGTTCTTCCAAAGTCTTGGTGGTGGTGGCAGCATTGTCACTTGTCTGAAGTGGGTCTAATGGAACTGCATGCCCTTTACCCTTATTGACAGGCCTTCCAATCTGGTACCACAGATGGTCCACAACATTGGCATCTGTTGTGTCTCTGATCTTGTCAAAGTTCAGCCACACCTTCAATGCCATAAGCACTGCTGGATCTCTCATAATCATTTCAGCAGTGATGATGTGGGTAGGGATGGTGAATTTTGAGGGCAGTTCTTCAACCAAAGGGCACACAAGGGTCTGGAATGTTGTAAATATCACAGGATAAATAGATCAGCATGCCATGAACCAACTGTTCCCAAATGATGTGCATAGCTCTTTTCCAGTATTGCTTGTTCCTGTGGTCATGGAGTGTCAGAAGCTCCACCATGACTATGTCTGCAGCATTAGTGACTATTTCATGTGGGAGAGCGACAGAGGGAGCAGTGGCAGCAGCAGTTTGGGATGCTTCAGTGTGTTGGGACATTTTTGTGGAAGTGGGGTACTGGTGTGAGAGCAGTGCAGTCAAGTGATAGTTGACAATTGCATCAGCAGCACAGCTGCATTTTATATTTTCATGAACCATTGTGCTGGCATCAACACTGGCTGGTAGACAAACAAGCCCAAATAGCCAAATCCAGCATTGTGACACAACTGAACAATATTTCAATCAACTTATCAACATTTTACAGATCGCTGAATATCATGGAGCAAAAGTCAGTAAGGTGGAGGCCAGGCAATCTGGACACTCAATGTAAGTAGTTGTTATAAGATACAACTATCAATAACCTTTGCCAGTCATCTCCCCACATAATAAACCATGGGTATTGCCAGGTGCTGACAATACAGATATGGTCATAGATGAACCAGAATTTCTACCATTTGGCACAGCCACAAATGCCACTGCTTTGGGCCATCAGCTAGGATCACCATCATCCTCCATGCTGCCAAATGCTGGCCCTTCCCTGCCATTGCTCAGCATGCTTGTGCCATCTTGGGACTCACCACCACTTTCACCAGAGTTGCAGCCATCTGCTGCTGATCAACAATGGGAGGTGCAGCAAGCAAGTCATTCCATGCCATCCTTGGCCACCATTGCGCCTAGCTGGGATTTGCCAACATCTTCCCTGGCAGTCTCACCCCCACCTAGATCATTGCTGGCATCTGCACAAATTCCACAAACTGTGCCATCTCCCATGGTTCATGCATATATGGATGAGCAGTTAGATGGTGTGGCAGCCTCTGAGCCACAGCCCATCCTGGCTATATCATGGCAACCATCCCCCCAGCCTACAGCCACCAATGCTGCTGCTGGTGAGTGCCATGTCATCTCTTGTTGCTGCCAGTATTAAGTGTATTAGCTTGCTTTTCAGAGCTGCAACATTTCTCCAGTGACTTGGGTATACAAGGACTTCATGATGAAGGGCCAATTACAACATGTAAGTTGTTTTATGATATCCCTCACATATATATCAATCATCCAGCAGTGGAAAAAGCACAGCAGCTTGTGGTTCTTCTTGCAGGACCAACTGATGAGCACCTGCCCTGTCTTAACACCACTACCAATGGGCCAATCATTGTGGCCTACAACCACTACAGCAATATATTGGTGGAATCAAGCATCCGGTTTCACCTGTTGCTTGCAAGGAGAGTGCAGCTAGAAAGGACTCAGCAATATATACAAGGTTTGATGACCAGTGATTGGGATGGCAGGGATGAATTGGAACTGGATGAGGATTTGTTGTAATGTAGCCATTGGTTGTCAAAATGTAGTATCACATTCCATGGCCATGTAAAATACAAATGCTAACATTTCCTATGTTTCTTGGAGGGACTAGGAGTAGGAACATCATCATCAGGCTGCTTTGGTGCCTTCTGCACCTGTTTTAATTGCCACATACCCCTCACATTGTCTATGCCAGTCCAGTGTGTGGGTACTAGGATTGAGAGATAAATTGAATCCACAATTCAGTGACTGTGGCACAAGTACTGACTCATCAATGGAATGAGCAACTTGTGCTTTGAATCTTCCTGTTTATGGTCTCTCCTGATAGTTGTTGGCACTGCCAAAGGATCTGCCAGGTGGACTGAATCAGGTGAATCAATGCAGTGGGCATCAGGCACAGGTTGCACAGGGCTTGTGATGCTGCCCTCAACCTGCCACAAGGCATTTGATGGTTCCTTGCCAATGGCTGAAACATGTCAGCCATTAATGTTAACAATATTCAGCTGTTGTGATCCTGCTGGCTTACCAATTGGCTGGCAGGTGTTACCCTCAGCCACTTGGCATCCAGCAATCTGCTGCTGGGAATCCAGCAATGGTACTGCCTCTGCAGCATCTTCATCCACCATGCTTGTGCCTGTACTGTCATTTCTGTTTGATGGCAATGTTGGTGGAATTTGACAGAGATTGGATTCATTGTCAGAATCAGACCCTACAACTTTGTTCCCCATTAGATAATATTGCTGCACATTTAAGTTCCAGTTGCATTCCTTCATACCTGTTTGCCATCACAGCTTCCTCCTACCCCACATCATTTTATCCATTGTCCTTTTGCCTGCTGAGTGTTCTGGTCTCCCATCCAAATCCTGCTTCACACACATCCTTGCTCCACTGCTGTCAGCCTCTGCCACCAGCATTTGGAGGGACCCTCCAGCATCTCTCCACTTCTTGAAGCTGAATATATTGTTGGGATGCTGCTCTTTTCTCTCTTGCCACCATTCTAAGATCACTGTCAACTCATCCTGGGTAAGTTGACTTGGCTCTTTGAAGGGAACCTCAGGTGGCAGAAACTGTGGTGCAATATAAAGTGCAGTGTTGGTCATTATCGCACTCCATGGAACAGTTGCCTGTGAATTCCCACAGGCCTTCCCTGTAATGCATTTCAATGAACAGTATTTCCCCTATTGTTATACATACGATAGTGAAATGTCACAAATGTCCACATGATATCCTTCAACTTTGGTGCCTGCATGTCCAATATGTTTGGGATGTATGGTGTGCTGTTTTTGCTGACTGGCAGGATGGTTTTAGGTTTCCCATTGCTCTTTCTCTGCCTTGACTGTGGAGCAGCATCTTCATCTGGTGACTTGGCATCAGTGCCACCATTCCCAAATGCTGTTCATGCATACTTTACAAATTTATCCTGGCACTTGTCCAACTCCTCAAATAATTTGCCATTACCCAATTCATCATTGAAATCATGTCTGGACAAGTTGGTCAAAATCTGGCAGTACTCATCTGCACAAAGAACAAATTCCTCATGCTCCAACTATCACCTCTCCATCAGCATCTTCCCATGCTGCCATCACTACCACCCTGGCACCACACTGCTTCCACATTTCCTTAGCAAATTCCTTGGCATATTTACAGCCTTTCTTCTCTGCAGTTCTGTTTCTTGTGAGTGACAGGCAGCATTGCCAAATGGTACATACTCTGACTGAACATCCCTAGGTGGCTGCCACTCATTCCATTCTTTGGCCAATGCCTCAGTCTCCTGTATCTCCTTGGCAGTAAGGGACTTCATGATGGTGTTGATGGCCTTCTGATAAGACTTGATCATTTCTGCAGATCCCTGCTTGATACTGGCTTCTTCCAACACTTTGTTGATTGATTTCTTTTGATGGTGCATGACCACCTTCCTCAGTGTCCAACTGCCACCATATTTGATCAGAGCCCATCAACTACAGCTCCAGCCATGGTTGTACAACCAAGTCTGAATTGCCTGGAAATGGTAAGGACATGCCAAGTAATCAATCACAGGTGTGGCACACCTTCTTCTTCCAAACTCATTCATGCATTTTCAGTGTCACATTTGCATCAAGGTTCTTTATCTTGTTTCTGAGGGTTAACATGATGGAGCTCCTTTTGTTTTGGTTGGCATTTTTCCATGACTCTAGCTCAGCCTCAAGAATCTCAATTTTGGCTGGCTGAAGACTGGTTCCCTTTTGCAGCAGGGAGGGTTCAGTGTTGTTGGAGAAAGAGTCACTTTCATAGTCACTGGATGCCATTGATGATGGAGGTGCTTGTGCACAAATTTTCTGGGGACAGCTAGTACAATGTCTGTTGAAGAGAATAGACTTCTCCAGCATTCTCCCATGTCAATGAAGGTTACATTTCCATGTCTAGTCCATTCTTGCATGCCAGTTGATTGGACAGTTTCCAAAGATGGCTAAGGTTGTTAGTCAATCATGAGATTTCCATCCCTGAGCCATGTGCAAAGGTGGTGCCTCTCAGACTGCATGGATCCAAGATCTTTGGTAATTGTGCAATGTGCATTGAGACACTGTGGATGGTATAGTCACTATGGGCATGATGTAGGACAAGGCTTTTTGCAAGTGCTCATTCATTTCATTGATCTCTAGGCAATGTGCAGGTGACAGCACTGAAATCATGTGCCAGATCCTAAGACAGCATTACCATAGTCAGTGGTCAGACCTTGCTAGCACATGTTGGCTGCATGTATTTGTTACAATCAAAACCCTTCTGCATTGCAACATTCATCATGGGGAAGTCAAAGATTGCACCAGTGGGACCTGCTACAAGAGTGACCCAGGTGACCTGGAAATGAGTGAATACCACCTGAGGATATAGGGATAAGATGGTAAAAGTAGCACCCAGAAAGCAGGTGCCAGGCCATGCAACTCAGCTGCCTGTGTGGCCTGGCTCTGTTATCCTGGATCACCTGGACTGCCTGTTGGATGATGTGGGTGAACAACTGCCTTCCAATAATGATGTATTGCCTGCAACACCTTCTAAACATTGGAAAAGTCAGGTGTGTGGAATGCTGCATTGCCCCACACACCTGCAATGACAGTGTCACACAATTGTAGAACAGTTATCTGCAGCAGTGGTTGCTGCACAAATGGCATTATCTAGCCATCCTGTTGGACATGGAGGCCCCACCTGAGCCAAGGGATTGTGTCCTGTGTGGAGTGGATGGAATCTTCTGGTGCATTGAGTGTGCCCATTGGCCAGTCTTCTGCACCATGTGTTGCCAGGCAGAACACAAGCACCAGCCATTCCACAGGGTGGAACAATGGAATGGCACATTCTTTGAGGAATCATCCCTGCAGCTGGTAAGCAGCTGAATCATGATGGTTGTTCCTGTATTTACCATTCAGGCCAGTTTGGTACTGCATGTTGTGCATGGTGGGAAGCACTGCCCAGCTGGTGGTTGTTCAAATGATGAAGTCACAGCTGAGGAGGAAGATGATTGGGAGGATGTGGATCAAGATGGTTGTCCACCAAATCTGCAGGCCCCAAAGAACTGAAGCTGTCTAATTGTCGTGCACACCAATGGAATACACTACTGCAATGTGTGGTATTGTAGATGCCCTGGGGCAGAGGATTCACACATACAGCTGATGCAGGCTGGGATGTTTCCTACTACCACAAAGGCCACAAGGACTGCATTTACCTTCCAAGTACTTGATGACTTCATTCAGGACAATGTGGAATGTGGTACCTCAGTGTTGAATTTCTACAGCAAACTTTGCTGCATAACCTCCAATGCCTTTCCTCATCTGGTGCCAGTGCATCCTATTTGTTGAATTGTATCACTGCAACATAACTCTTAGCTGGATGATAGGATAGGTACAGGGAACTGCTGAGAGTTGCTAGGATGTGGCAGCTCCTGAAACTACTGAAATGGCAGGGATCCCACATGAGTGCAGAAGATACCAGCCCTGGGGAATTAGTGTTATTCTGTCTGGCATGTCCTCAGCCCAGCATCAACATTCCTGAAGATGAAATGGATTATTCCCAGTGAGTGATAACATGAACACTGCTAGCCATTTATACAATGTGTAATCAAGTTGAACACTGGCAAGAAGCTTGGTAATGGATGGGAATTTCAAGGCAGAGCATATGCATCCAAAGGATGCTGGCAGCAAAGCCTGGTTGATGGATGGAAAGGGGTACATGGTCACATCACAGCCATACAAGGAATATTTGAGTGGAACTAAAAATGTGGTTGAGGTGGGTGATGTGTAGGAATGTATTACCTGATGGACTGATCACACTACAAGATCTTGGATTGCAGCAATCATCAGGCAGTTAATCAAGCAAATGCCAACTGGCAGCAGCTCACATCTACAGGAATAGGTGGATGTGCCTGTGCATGGCATGGCTGTTTTGTGCTGCATGCAATGGTTGACTTCCAGAAGGGCAAACAGTATGAATAACCTTGTAACAATGTATGACAATATTGACATCAACATCACAGGCAGGTTAACATGGACTATGTGCTTGTGCATGCCATCAGGCATGGCACAGTCCCTGGCCAGCAAGTGATACATTTCTATGATATTAACTGCCAGTATAGCAAAGGTTTAGAATGACAGCTATATGCCAATGCCTATGTATCCATGCCAGATGGCATGCAGATCTGCCCTGGCATTGGGTTGTGGCATGTTCATGGCCACCGCACAGAATGCTTTGCACAATATGCTCCCAATTTCATTGTGGGTGCTGGCCAGGTGGATGGGGAGATCATGGAAACCTTGTGGTCCTCCCTGAATATCATTTCCCCATCTGCTAGAGGCATGGCTACTCCCCATCAGCAGGAGGTACTTGATTTCCAAATGAATGATAGCAATTTCCTGAAAATGGTCAGAATGCATAAGTCTAGTGCTTGTATCAGACATGGTTGCATGGATAACAGGCTACAGCAATGAGACTCAAGCAGAAACTCAAGGTTGCTGAGGAATCTTATTTAGTGGTTGAAGGCAGGTTTGCTGATTTGAATGGTAATGTCCCACTGGCAATCAGCCAATCATGGGGGGAAGAAGCAGCAGCAGCATTGGAAAACCAGCTGTCAAGGCCACAGGCCATGGATATATATGAGGTCAGGCTGCAGAAAGGTAGGTAATGAAGGTTAACCTGGACAGGATTTGTGCTGAGTGGTATTGAAGCTCCCTCTGCAAAGGCAATCAAGATAGATTTACTGGCCATCCCCCAGCCAGGGCATTCACAGGGTATGGTGACCTGGATTGTGAAGGCATTGAAGATAGAGGAAGCACAAATCCAGCTTACAGTGGCATGCCAGCACATCACCTCAAGAGTGACAGAAGCTCAAAATCTCACCATTGCATGTCGCCATGATTGTCTCCAGTCCCATATACACAACATTTTTGACACTGCTGAAAAACTATTTGGGGACAGATTCAAGGATGCCAAGCTGTGCCAGTCATCTAACCTGCATGATCCAGAAACCATTGCATTGCCACTGCCATCCAATGTTGGCAAAGATCATTTTGAATGATCTAGCCTGGGGTATGTGACAATAATGGAGCTGCAACTGTAGCAAGGACAGGCCAATGATTGTCTTCATGAACTGTGGCTTGTGCTTGCAGAGAAGGCAGTCATCTTTCGAACTGACATTCACCATGGAAGTAATTTCCACATGGCCATGCATGCCTGGGGAAGGGTGGCCAATGCCAAAGCAGCAGTGCAACATCATGCTGCTGTGTACTGCCAGTGCTGCATTCAAATGGGCAGGTTGGGGGCCAGGCCAGATATCCTGGAGCAATACAAAGAGTTGAATGACTCTGACCTAACTATCAGCATGGCAGTATCTGACCCAAATGCCAGAGGTCACAGAGACAATACCCTACCTTGGATCTGGACAATGGATGTACCAAGGGACATGGCTGCTAATGATTGGATGTCAGAATGTGAGAGGAGCAATCACATGGCAGCAGCATCTGAGATTTACTTATCATTTTCTCTAGTCTACAGGGTCAATTGGCTCTGGATGAGGGCACTGCAGGACAGATGGAAGGAGGAGGTTCAGCTGTTGAAATGCAAGCAGGAGTGGACTAAAAACTTCTTTGAAAACAAGGTAAGATTTTGGACCAGCAGGAAGACTGCCACATTGGCAAAGGGACAGGCCAGGCTGGCATGCTATGCCACATGGCAATGCCAGATGTATGGCAGATTAGCATGTCTTCTGTGAACCACTTCCATCTAGAGACCACTAGCTATCTGCAACAACATCATTTTTGAGATCTCCCAAATGATGCCAGGGTTATGGATCACATATTGGTTGGTGTAGTTGAATGCAAGCTGAGCATTTGCTAATGAGTGCTGCCTTAATGGCAGATGCATGCCACCATGCAAAGCCATGGGAAAGTTGGCCAATGCTTATATAGTATGACATCTCATCTTTCATGCCAGTAAGTCATGTTGTCAATGTTCACCATGGCTGAACTCTCCATGGTTGTACAGTACTTGGGAATAAGGTTTCATTGCCTTGTCACCACCATGAAGAAGCCAGATTGGTCTGAATACTAGCACACCAGTTGGTATCAACATTTCCTGGCAGAAGTGGTAAGCCACTGTTCCTGTGGTGGTGCAATGGTTGATAGTGGTACAGGGTACAATGGAGCATCTGATGGGCATGGCATCTCACCATCCCATTACCCTGATCATGCTTCTCACAGCTGACAGGCTGTCAATGTACCTGAACAATGGTGATTGGAGTCCCTGCAACATTTTAGCTTTCATCAGAAGCTTGAATCCCCACCTGACTAGGATTAAGGAGTGCTGTGTCAAACTGGCCACTACCATGTCCCATGCATGGTGGCAGAACAACAGTGGCAAAGTGGAATTGGGATATGAGAGGAGACCTCTGTGGAATGTAATTACAGAAGCTGCAGAATTTTTCACAGGAGTATCAGTAAGTGGTGGCACACCTTTGCTCACTTCCAACTCACCTGTTGTATCAGAACAGCAGCATCTTGCTACCACTGCTTATTAATTCACATCCATCACCCACTGCTGAACACACTGCACTACATGTGATGTGCACAGAAGGCTTGAAGGATATTGATCAAGAGTTATTGTATCTTTCCAAGTTAATCTTACATTCACAGGAGCAGATGTCATCACTGGAAGCTGTTACCCAATCTAAACTTGCTTTACAGGTTGTAAGGGTGGAGTCAGTGTCAAACACGTGGGAATGAATATAGAGCCTCTGTACATATTATCAACCATCTATAATGAGTTTACTTTGGGGCTGGTAACTTTACCTTATCAGAATCTATGCCAGTAAATGAATAGGGGCATTCCCTTGATCAATGGGTCTTTTGTGTACTCTTCTCCCCATGGCCCCAATCATGTCAACATCATTCTTGGGCCAGCAGTCTATAAAGCTATCCACCAGGTTCACAGTCAGAGATCCATGATGTGCCAGCACCATTGAACCATCTCTGGCATGGTGCTTGAAAACTGCCCATTCAAAGATGCCACTGGCAAAACTGGCTGGTCATCTGGACCTTGATTCATGTTGCTGGCAGTATCAGAAATGTGCAACCCCCAATTGGAACATGTGGAAGGGGCTAATATCTTCTGTAATGTATACTTCAGTGGCATTCATGGTTGTTCAAGGTTGTGTTCTGGCCAGGCCACATTCCAAAATGCCAATGAGGCTGTGTTCTCATTGCTGCAGAGAGCTTCTATGCCACATTTAGTTCAATGTTACCACATTAGTCACTACCATTGCTGGCAACATTAGCCACACAATTGCCATGGCCAGAGGGATCCATGCCATGTGTATTCCTCACATCTCCAGATGATATCCTCCTTGTTGCCAGTGGATTCCCTTAACTTCCCCAACCTGATCACATTAGAAATGTCTGGTACCAGCACATTCCCATCCAACTATCTACTTTCTGACCAGCTTGTGGAGTACATGCACTGCTGAGTTCTCCATGAGACACATCCTTGCACTGTCACTGTCCTGCCACAACCTCTTGAACTCAAGATTCAGACATGTATTGCGCTCAATCAAATGGTGGCAACACTGGCCCAGGCCTATCATAATCCCTGCATGCTGTTTTAAGAGAGCTGCTGCATGTCCCACTAACATTTATTGCAGTTCCCTCCAGCATTGAATTAATCAGGCTGTCAGAAAGCTTATCACCTTGAGAAACAGGTTTCAATTTGAACTGGGAAGCCCACATCCTTTCCACTCACCCACCATATCTGAGTGGGTATTTGGACGTTCCTGCAATCATTCTGGGTGAAGGGGATGCAATTGCTTTGTGGTATCTACCCAGTGCAATGTCACAATCAATGCAGGTAGGCATTGTGATGTATCCTGTTGTCCTCAGTTCACAACCCTATCAAGGACCAGATGATGGGAGCTATTCCCCCACTTTCCAATATGTTGACACGAAGCATATCCCATGGTTCCTGGCAAACATCACCCGATTACTTTCCAGTGGATCACCATTTGCCAGTGGGCTGCTTAGAGCTTCCACTGGCCCAGCATCAACTTGGTCATGCTGTGAGGGTCATCCTTGTGCTTCATCTCAAAATACTCATTGCTAATGTTGTAGACACTGGCACACCAGCCTTCCATATCTGCTGACCTTGCAGCTCTGGCCACTTGGCAGTGGATCCATGCTGTCCAAACACCATTGGCAATTCTCTCTGCTACACTTTCAATTATGCACCTTCCTTTGTACAATGCCAGTTGCCAAGCCATGCAGCAGCTG